AATTATTGTAATTTGAATTGTATTTGTTTAAGAGTTTTTGTTAACAAGCTGTATATTATGAGAAACTAAAAGAAAGTTACAAAATTAGTTCTCAGTACAGCGACCGGAACTCTTAAACACTTGTTTGTCATCATCAAAAAGGGGGAAATTGTTGGGAAAAATATCATAGATTTTGATGATGATGTATTTAGAATGTAATAGGGACTTTAGGTCTCCCCCAATATTCAATGTAATTTTTCTTTTTAGAAATATTGTTAAAACCAAGTTCTTGAGATTTCCAATGAGGTTATGATATTTCATTAAGCGTTTTGATGCCTGAAGACCTAATCAAATTTAGTGATATGGAAATTGGATATCTTGATCGGAAATGCCAGAGACAAGTAAGGATTTCTCAAGCAGATGAAAATCCTCTGATCCAGAAGACTCCATAAGAACCGCATGTCTCGCTACAACCCGCTGAAGGCTAAGTCATCCAAATCGGAAGACTAGCGCGGATCTCCTTCTCACCCAGAAGTCTGAGAATGACTCCTCCGGATTTGTCAGCTAAGAACCGGATGCCTCAGGGAAGACCGGAATTCTCAAAAAGCGGACAAGTGAGAAAAGACTTAGAAAATTATCTAAGTCTTGAATGAAGAAATTCTACTCGTTGGTAAGGAAAAATCAATCTCTTGATTTTCAACGGCTAGATTGAAGATAATTATGCTGATTCAAGAACAAATGACTCGAAGACAAAGTCTGAACCTCTAAGAATTGAAGAACCTGTCTAGAATTCCTAAACAAGCACTAGAAGACAAACAGAGTAAAGTTCTACAGTCCAGAATACTTGAACAAAAGCTAGAAGACGGACTCTATGGAAAAAGGAATCTCTCCTTTAACAAATGGGTATGTCCAAACACCCATTCCAATGAGGAATTTTCAAATCACAATCTTCATTCAAAATTGAAGCCAGCAAATGCAACAGATAGTCTATTATGATTCAACGAATAGATTATCCAATCCAGCTATAAATAGCATCCTTGGATGACTGGAGAAAAAAATAATGAGATACAACAACACAACGAAGCAATCTCTAACAACAAAGCTATCTCATTCACAGTTAGCCCAAAAAGCTTGATAAAGAGAGATTTCTAAACTCCTTATCCAGAAGCAAACTTCTCCCCCTTCTAAAGAGCTATAGTGTAAACACTTGAAGGTTTCCTTGCCTCAAGCACCACACCACGTTGAAGGATATTACTTTTGATCAAACTTATTCATTAAAAGGGGGTAGGTCAACTCTCTTACAAGTTGATCTTGCAAGTCCTATTGTTCGGACCTTGCAGTTGTTGAAGAAGCTTGACCTTCGAAGGAACAACAAAGCCAGCACGAGTGCAGTAGCAACATTGGTCTTGTGAAGATATACCGTGCAGAAATTCACACAAGTGTAATTGTTGGTTCATTATTCAACAACCAAC